ATTCCGTAAGGATAGATCGTGTACAGACCAAATCGCAACTCTACGGATCATTGTGGAACAATCATATGAATGGAATTCATCACTCTACATCAACTTCATTGACTACGAAAAAGCATTTGACAGCGTGAACAGGACAACACTATGGAAGCTTCTTCGACACTACGGCGTGCCTCAGAAGATAGTCAATATCATACAGAATTCCTATGATGGATTACACTGCAAAATAGTGCATGGAGGACAGTTGACAAAGTCGTTCGAAGTGAAGACCAGTGTTAGGCATAGTTGCTTACTCTCACCCTTTCTCTTTCTCCTGGTGATTGACTGGATCATGAAGACGTCAAAATCTGAAGGGAAACACGGGATACAATGGACATCTAGGATGCATTTGGACGATTTAGACTTCGCAGATGATCTGGCCCTTCTATCCCAAACGCAAAAACAAATGCAGAAAAAGACGAACAGTGTAGCAGCAGCAGTAAGTCTAAATATACACAAACGGAAGAGCAAGATTCTCCGATACAACACAGCATGCACCAATCCATACACAATTGACGGAGAAGATTTGGAAGATGTAAAAACCATTACATATCTGGACAGTATCATTGATGAACAGGGTGGATCTGATGAAGATATGAAGGCGCGGATTGACAAAGCAAGAGCAGCATATCTATAATTGAAGAATATCTGGAACTCAAAACAACTGTCTGTCGACCAACACCAAAGTGGGAATTTTCAATACAAATGTCAAGACAGTTCTACTGTATGGAGCGGAAACCTGGAGAACTACGAAAGCCATCATCCAGAAGATACAGGTGTTCTTTAACAGTTGCCTACGCAAAATACTTCAGATCCGTTGGCCGGACACTATTAGCAACAACGTACTATTTGAGAGAACAAACCAGATCCCAGCGGAGAAAGAAATCAGAAAGAAGCGCTGGAAGTGGATAGGACACACATTGAGGAAAGCACCCAACTGAGTCACAAGACAAGCCCTCACATGGAATCCTCAAGGCCAAAGGAAAAGATGAAAACCAAGGAACACATTACGCCGATCCAAACACATTTAGTAGCACGTAAGAGGCATGTGTATGTTTAGGCCAAACAAAGGACGTTTATCAAAAATAATACGTTCCTATGGTTCAATACTATCTTCCAAATCAGTTCAACCAGAGTTTCTTGTTGCCAAACACATTGTGGTCTCAAATGAAGTAGAGAAGTGAAACATGATTGTCCGCCTGATCAAACAATTAAACCAACAAAAATTGATGATGATTATCATAGAAATGAAATCTTGAATCACTATCTCTCTGACTGTCACTAATCTTCAATAAAACAATCGTTAATCTTTCAGTGATGAACTGAGGCAGATTTTCGACTTGATATCCTGGTTCCAGATTATTTTCAATGCACATGATTTGTAATCCATTATGCAGAATTGCTCGTCGGATTAAAGTCAACTCACCATCGATTGTGTCTTCATTGCATATTCGTCTGGCTCTTGTGGATAGAGAGTAGATTAATTTCCTCTTCCTACTCAGAACACCCAAGTATATATCCTGTTCCACGTCATTTTGATTGACTTCCACTCAAGTACGTTTACTATCTTCGATATATTTGTCAAACCGTTTATATTTAACCACAAAATACTACATGTAAAAGAATCACCTATTATTCTATTATTATAAGTGTGACATTTCTGATCGATTATTCATTCTATTTCATTAACTTTATTACTCGTCTTCCCTTTCTAAGTTCTCACTGACATCAGGGCTTAGTTACAAGGGAGAATATTAATTTTGGTCGGTCGAAATCAAACCCAATAAGAGTAAAATATGTGTGATATCCTGACTGATCGAAATTATAAATTAGCTAACCAAGGAAAAACCGAACATGTCATTGTAGAGTATGAATTTAGTCCTGTTAAGCCCTGCAACTAACTCATTTGAAAGACAATGTAGTTCAAACGACTTATAAAATAATCATTGAACCAATATCACGTTGAAATGAAGTACTGCTTTAGCATCTGGGCTACCTGTTCCTGCCATCTAGATATTTCAACAAGTTATTTAATTTTTGTTTGTTCTAATATATCATTATGTTTATTAACCTATCCTGATGCATTTCTGAAAAGTGTACAACCTTTCATTGTCAAAGTTACAAATAGCCCAATACTAGATAATGTAGTCGCTGGCAATATGCAGAGAAAAGAATATGCATTATTCAGATGTTCATTTACTGGACTGCTAACACCTAATTGGTGATCACTCAATATTTATCGTCTGGATCGATCAAAAAGTAAAAACCGGAAACTTGTTGAATTACCTCGTGCTGAGAATTCTATATTGTACCAAAAATATAATATTGAATAAAGCTTATAATAATAATAACACACCTTCTACCTACCAACAGTATTCCTCTCCTTCTTTGTGTAAAGTTATGCCGGTGTCATTTCAAGGTGTAACAATTCCAATCCATCAATTTCAAACTGTTTTCTGTGAGCTTGCTTTTATACTAACTAACCTAACCAGAAATCCCTGTGTTAAATATGAAGAGATGAAGAATAGTGTAGTGGAAAGTGTTTTTGATAACTTCATCATCACACTCTACAGTTACACGTTCACAATCATGGTGTAACAAAGGCCGAAATAGAGCACTCTGGTGATTTAGACAAAGTTGTGTTAAAACGTGACGACTCTGTGTATCAGTTGTGTGATAAATGCCTCAAAAATGTGTCATCTGTAAGCTGAAAAGGTTATTCTCAGAAGATTGAAGTGATTCAGTGTGAGGTGCCTAATTGTAGTCAATGTAATAATCAAACGAATGATACGCAAAAAATGAATGTTAAGAGAATATGGAGAATTTGGTTAGTGGAATTAATAATAATTGCGATAACAGTAATAAAAATAAAAATTATTATTATCATTATTATTTCAGTGCCAATACCAATAATTGTAATATAATTAATAATAAAGAAAACGCAATGTGAAGATAATGTACAATAAGACGGGGTGTCATCTAGGTAATTGTGTTAAGAAAGTTATGCGGATTGAGAAAGTTGAGTGGGAAAATTGAGAACGATATAAGGCAAATGAGAACACTAAAGAAATTAGGAGATATGTAGCATACGATTTTTAGTTATGATATTATCTCGAAGTTATTCCACCACGAGTGTTTGGTGAAGATAATGGCATCTTCATAGCTTTCAATCACAAAGTGATTTCAGCCAGATCACTGCTGGAATCATGGGAGTACGGGATGGCTGTTTTGATCTTGTATGTAACTCCTCATCATTAGTTTTTGTTGCTTTAATTGTTTGATCAAGCGGACAATCATGTTTCACTTCTCTACTTCATTTGAGACCACAATGTGTTTGGAAACTAGAAATTCTGGTTGAACTGATTTGGAAGATAGTATTGAACCATAGAAACGTATTATTTTCGATAAACGTTCTTTGTTTGGCCTAAACATACACCTGCTTCTTACGTGCTCCTAAATTTGTTTCGATCGTTTAGACCATAACTTGACGATTCAGTCAGGATGATGTGGTTGAATATCACATATAATCATCATGTCTACCTGAATTCTACTAGTCTAATATACGATTTCGCACAAGAAATATTTTTTGAGAGATAGTAACAATAGTGTATATTATCTGAGAGTGTTTTCGCAAATATCAGTCTGTTAACCTCAGTTGTTTGTAGATATTTCAGAAATTATACTTTCTCTTCATCTATCACCTCATTATATTTAATTATTCAACTAATATGATATTCTCTATTGTGTAGTGGGCGTGATATGAATCATTGTTAGAATAATGAATACCGCTTTCTAATTATGTGTTAATGTGACTGACAGTCATCTACTCACACAGAACAGAGATGAATGGAAGTCTCATTTTACAAAACATTCCTGCTTTTGTGAAAAGCAAGTAAATTGAAAACAAATATTTTGGCAGTCAATTCATAGTTAGTTTTGCTTCAGCTATGAATAAACACTGTAACTATTTACTATCTAAATTGAAGTGAGTTTAATAGTCGTTTTCTCTTAAAATCATCATTATATGCAACCATATTCGCAGTATGGTGTTGTTAAGCTATCAATTGAAATCATGAGTCGATGAATATTAGCCTATCATTGGAAACGTAGAGCACTGGACCATTATCTAACATACATCGATTCTGATATCTTTGAACAACTTATCAATCCCCACAAACCTACCTTGATGATTATCATGTGCTCACTGTTAACTAGCTCCTTCTGGGGATTCTCGGAGTTCTTGTAAGCAACTGTGACCAGTCGAGATATTCCTTTCAGGCAGAGACAGGTATCCACCTCAGACATCGATGGGTGGTTGCACATCCTCGCGGATTTGTTGAAATTAGACACCGACACTATTGAATACCAAAATAGGTGGTCTAGAGATTAAGCATTGATGCGCCAAACCAAAGATCCTGTGTTTGAATCCCGCGTGCGGGATTGTGGATGCGCACTGCCAAGAAGTTTCTCACTAAGACGAAACAGTTGTTCAGTGCCTTCAGGTTTTCAATAATAGTCTAATATTCATCAAATAATATTCTCAATTGAAATAAAGTTCAAATGTCAGTGCCTTTTTTGACATCCAATGGAATCAGTTTGTGCCACTTTGATCTTAACCAATCAAGTCAAATTAATGTGTCATTGACAGCCCATTAACAAATTAGTACACGTAAAAAAGTGTTTGTTCGTGAACACGTGAGCATACATTTTGCACTACAAATAAACCAATCACTTATTTTAAAGTATTGCCAATCATATCCAAAAAAATTTTCATAAACAGAGGTCAGGAATTTCAACCAATGGTGGATAAATATCTGCCTATGTTCTTGATAGCTACAAAGATATTGGATAATAATGGGTTCATCTAGCGAAATGATTGGTTAACAATGAAAAGATGATTTTATGAAATTAGATCTTTGCAATGGTTACTTTGAATCATAGAATCAGAAAAAAACAAACATACATTTGAAAAATCTATGTAAACCTGACAAGTTCTAGTAAAATTGTTTCACTATTTTGAACGAGAAAATGAGGTGAGTGTTGACTGAATACACGAAGTTATTGTATGTACTATATGAATTTCGGTTTGATTCAACGTGATAACATTGTTTTGTTCATATCAACCATTTTAGATATACTTCTTCATCTGGTCTATTGATACCGGTTTATTTGGTCGTCATCGTGCTTTCCGAATTCTTCGTCTGTCAAGATATCTGCGAAGACCCTGGATTAGCGACATATGAAAATGTGACTTCGGAAAACGGTTCATACAAATATGTAAGTATACAGTCAGATTCTAATGCACATACACAGTCTTATCATTATTACTACTCTCAAATAATACGTCACGATCAGCCGTATCCAGTTGTTAGTGACAGTTTTAAAAAATTTAGTACCGATCAGGTGAGTTGACTACATTTTGTAATCGAATTACTAATTCTTATGTTTGCATCTTTTAAGAATGTTACGTCGAAATTTTCGTTTAAATATTACGGTAGTAACGTCACTAGCTTTAAGATTTTTCAGGATGGTAAGTTAATTGTTTTCTTTCAATTAAAATTGTTATTGAGTTTTGTTCATCACAATTCATTCCATGAATCAAGTTTGCTATAACTTCTTCAATGAATCAGTTTGATGCTTATTCTCACATTCAAAACGTTTCTTACGTGTTGAACTTATCAAACGTTCGATGTCTTACAGCAAACTAATTACAGTTCATGAAATTCATTTTTGTCTCCAATTCATTTCAAAATATTTCACTCATTCACTATAGAATTTCAATTAGATTGTATGTTTTCATTAAATATAGGCAAAATAAAAATATTCGGAGAAAGACAAATCGGATCGATATATCATATTGTTTACGGCAATTTTTTTCCTGAATATGATATGGTAGTTAACAGTGAGTTTTTCTATTATCCAACAATATTTTCTTTTGCTTGTTCACACACACTTGTTGTGCATAAATGGTTCAGTATTTAGCTTGATTATTGCCTGAAAGCTAACCATTTCACAGTGATTATATTGTTTCTGTGATTTGATACCACAACATGTGTTCACAGCACGTATTCATTACTGTCAAGTTAAAATATCAAATAAACACATGGATTCACTACAGAATATACACAAATCGATTCAGTAGAAATTATAAACCAAATGATGTGGTTGCTGAGTGAAAATGAACTGTTATCCAGTCTATATAAGTAACAATTGGAAAGATGTCTCACCGATGTGATACCTCTTTCTAGATTAAATGAATCAAATTGATCGCATGTGTAACACTAAGCAATGTTGTTCAACAGGTCAGTTTGAGTCATTAACTTTATGAACTGTCAAATTATACTTGACGTCTTCCAACTCTTTTCTGACATTTAGTTGATTCATGAAAGTTAAATATCTCTTAGTCGCTATCTGTGGACCATTGGATGTTTAACATTATTTAGATTATCCTGTTTATAAAATAATGACATTAAAACCCACGCCCTTCATTACACAATTAATCAACTAATGATGATTGATCATTTAAATGTACCAGTTCACTTAAATCTCGGAAGGATGGAAGGATGGTGATAACTTGTCTGCCAATACATTTTTTGTTAGAATGTATATTTATTAAAAGAGGTAGATATTCATTATGCAGATATACAAATGTCTTTTTGATTTTCATTTCTTTCAGATGATTTCATTGCTGTCAAATGGCATTTCCAGACATCGGTTGACGATACAAGTAAGCGAACATTGATTGATCATTTGATATCATATGAAATCTTAACACTTAAAACTACTCATTGTGTTTGCTCAAACCTGCCTGTTCAGTTTGTGTAATTCAATTTTTCCCAATGACTGACGGAAGTAGGAATACATAACGCTTTTGCAAAATGAAGGTGGACTTGTACATGGAATCCATTGATCAATTAATCACAATGATTACGACTTGAAGAACAGTTAACATAGACTGAAAGAGACTAGACTTAACGAGTAATAAATGGATGAATGAAGTTGCAACCCCATCTCACATGTGGAAACACTGATGCACAGATTCATCATCGTTGACTGGCTTCAATGTAACTTGATGTGAAGTCTGTTTATTGTAACAAATAAATTGTGTTATATGTTCGTCCCAAAGCCATTTTCTGCACGCACCACATTCATCGACACAGTCACTCATAACATAGTCATTCCTAAATATTGCCCGCTAAAATCAGTAAATCCTTATTACAATATGTCTGAAACTATTCACTTCATATCTTCAACAAATAAATCTGTGTTCTTTGTAAACGCCATGGTCAGAGTCAGTCGACTAATCGATTTGCCAATGTGATTAATGAGTAATCAAATTCTCAAGTTCTATTTGTGAACAAACAATCCACAACACAAGTCATGTGTTCATAGGGTTGATTGATTTAGGAGTAATGATAGAAAATATTGCCCAGAATTGTATACTTCTCGGTTTCCGAAGACTAAACAGCTGACATTCATCTTGAATAAATTGTGTTCGTATGTTTTGCATGAAGTCCACTTGATATTATTTATAACGAATTCAACGAAGGGAAACATTTGAGATAACACGGTATATGTTTGCTTAAATTGGATATTTTTGTAAGTAGTCATATACACTGTCAGACCTAACAGTAACAAGCTCATCATCATTCCCTAAGAATTCTAAATATCAATAGTCTTTTGTTTGCAGTTCATATAATCAAGATAACTAATGTGATACATTCCAGTGGGAAGATATCTCTCTATTATGACGACGTAAGTTCTAAAATTGAATTGAAATAAAATTTTGTTTCAAGTACTATAGCTTAATGCACTCTTTCTTGCGTATCATTAATGTGAAATGTATCAAGATACATTGAATACGACAGAAAGGGGTCAACTTTTGTAATGTGCAAACGGACTATGTGACACTATTATTATTCATTTAATGACACACACTTTAATGTCCCACTTGCTAAAAACAGTGAATAATTAGAAGTGAAGAGTCATCAAAAGAAACGATGTTGTCTCTTCGCGACAGATAAGGACAAACGGTGTACTTTAGAGTACAGCACGGAAACAGTCATATTATGACAGGATTTATTTCATCTTCTGGGGATAAGATGTTCGGAAAGTACATTGCAGAATATTTAGAGGGATTTAGTGTTTGAACTGTTGATTGTTTCACATTGTCTATATTTTTAATATCAGTGTTTGATACTTCCAATACTTCCTTTCAGATCCCCACGGGACAAAAGAAAATTCTACTGAGCTCTTTGATTTCAGGTGTAATTGAGTGTGGAAAAACGTTGGAAGGTAACAATTACTGCTGGTATTTTGATGTAGAGTAACCATGTCGACAGTTTTCTCTTAACGCAATATTACTTTCCATTCGTACACGGCCATCTTCATGTCAACATAGTAAACTGCCGTTTTCGCTCAAAGTGACCATTTATAACTGTATTACAGTCTACAATGATTGGTTGATTTGAATGTAAGACAAATCGATTGAAGTGCAATTAAAGTGTTGAGGATAATCGTGAGGGATAAAGTCGAAATACTTTTCATAAAAGCACTGTCCAAAAATTACTGTATACTGGATATGAACCATGATGTGTGAATATCATTACAGTAAAATTATGGATAATTATTGGAGTATACTTACACATACATTTAACGACGGACTGATCTAGACAGGGATATATGAACGACAATATTTGACAGATCACATATCTACTGATCTATTTACTTACTCACTCACACGTTCATTCACTCACAGAACAAACAGTCCCACTTGAAGTCCTTAGTCATATCACTACTCAATGCAAAAAGAAATGTTATTTATCAAACAGAAACAAAAGAGTGATGCTTGTAACTGATAGTTGTTTTATAAAATGCTCAATCTTCATGACATATTGAAGTGATCATGTGTTGTCTTAAGATCAAGCTGAGTTTCAAGATAAGCGTTTAGTGAAAGCGATTTGATGGGATACAATGTTTTGTCATTAAATGTGGGACAATGCACTACATATTTGGTCAAACGGTATACACTGATCGGTTGAAATATGTTACTTGGTCTTTTAACAGTAAATCTCAATGTTGACTATGTGTCATTTGAAATGTCGAAAGAATTGTACCGAGTTGAACATGTTTCTTGAAGATGTTGCACTGAGAATGTTTTAAAATGAATCAGAAATTCAATATGATCATTTTTCATTTATGAGTTAAACACTGGCCACTTTCCATCTCAGTAATAATGTTGAGCATGTTTTGTGAAGATTTTGTATGAAAAACACTCTATCTGTAATCAGAAATTTTTAAGTCTTAATTTTACGGGACATGAAATGATGAAACGAATTGTTATTTAATTCATGGGAAATCAAAATTTTAAGTGTTTTCTTTCAAAAAATATATTTTAGATGTGAGAAAACCTGAAATAACAACCCCTGAAGAATGGATAAAAAGAAACACGTTAGTGGAGATTGAACCTATCAAGAGTATGTTAAACCTTATTTTATGAACATTGAATATTTCCGCACTTGAATGCATCACTTCTGTTTCATCATATGATGAATTTCAAGTGTAATTTTATTTAGCCATTAAACGATATCCAGTAGTGTTTCTCTGTTGACGTTTCCCTTGCTATTAATAATTACACGTCGATTTGCTGTTGGATATTTCAAATGATTAAGGACTCAACTTGAACTACTACAGAAGTCTTTACTTTCTTCAAATTTACAGATGTGAGAGAACCTGAAATAACAACTCCTGCAGAATTGATGACAAGTGACACGTCAGTGAATCTTAAACCAATCGAAGGTAGGTTAAACCTTATTTAATCAGCATTGAATAGTTTCATTTCTAAAATTTCTGCTTTGTCATGCTTGTTCGATAAATCGTAGGTGTAGACAAGTCATGCGTTCAAATTGCAATTTATCATAGTCGATATATATGTACAGTAACAAAATAACTGACGATTTACACAATATAACAATGTTTTCTTTCTCATGATTATGTAAAGTGAGTGCCTACAGAGACTTTTCAGTTCACCATGTGTTAGACTATTGAAATAACATTTCGACTACTGGAAGAATCACTCGATACATTAGTGTTCGGATCGCATTCAGTATTTGTCGAACAAAATATTATTTTCAATAATCCAATGAGTCTGATGTGCTAACTGACGTTTAACAGACTAGAACGTGGCCACATATTTTGAAACCTTCCATCACATAATAGGTTAATGAAACTGTATTTGTTAAAGCCACAATGATGATTTGAAAAACAAAGTCACTCTTGCTTTGTCTTCCATCGAATCAACAACATTGAAAATCAGTTTTCGGTCTGAGAACAGCTGACCTTCATGCACTCATTTCGAAATAGTCAGTGCCAGTGAGCTCACGAATTGATTCTGCACTTTACACATGCAGAAACGGTATACAAAATATAGATTGATGATAAAACTGATATCAGTTACACATTTTGTTATTCATGTATCTTTTGTTTGATAACTTGAATTGCCGTCTCCCTAATTTGTTTCACAGTAAGTTGTTCAATACACAATTCCATTGAAAAATGCCAAAATGCGACAACATCAAGTGTGAAATGTATCTGGTATGAAAAATCTAATATGTGCATTAACAGCGATGATAATGATGTTAAAGTAAGTAATTGTTAAGATTCATAGATTGTTTACAACATTGTTATATTCCACATTGTACATCCGATTACTTGGAAGAAAATTTTATGACTACGAATACGTTTTGATTTCATGGTAACAACAAGCAATGAACAGAAACGTTTTTTAACACAAATGCATGGAGTCATATTAATTTTTGAGCTCACTGAGCTTATAGTGACTTCAGAAATCCAATATGAAATCGTATGTCAATATGAATTGCCATGAATCACCGATGAAATCGGTTTGAGTGATGAAGCGTATTCCATTGGAAATTGTATATTATGTTTGGATAATTAGTGAAATTTTGTAGACTCTCGTTATTAAAGTGTAGAACAAAGGAATCAGTGAAATTCACAATGACGAAAAATTTCGGAAAACCACTGTATAAACTGAACCTTATTCGGTGAATATTTGATATTTAGTATTAATGCTACTGTTTCGTTTCTCTTTCAGAACACCACCTCCGAAATAACTGAACACAATAATCATAATAACACATCTCGTTACTTGTATATCGTGATACCAGTAGTCGTCGTCGTCGTCGCTTTCGGGGTCATCTGCATCGGATTTGCCATTCGGATGTATAAAAGAAAGAAGAGTAATCTATGATTAACTGAAACGTCTTCTAGTTTGTTATTATTATTTTGATCGAATTGTTTTATTCTGTATTTCATTCGAAAACTTTACATTTTATTAACCATTTCAATTATTTAAACAAGTTTTATACAATTTTATGTTTGTTCACGTATCGACTGAAGTAATTCGGTTGATTAAATAACTGAAATCGTTTTCAATTATTTATGTGACGTTTTGTCTTTTTCATTTAATAAAAAGCTGAATTATACTATAAGAGTTTTACAGCGTTTATTTTAGAAATGAGCAGTATTCTATGATCATTTCAATCAATAATGAATCCGTTGTGAATGTTCATTTTGATGGAGTCTCATCATGGGAAAATTGTTAGAAAGTGATCAGTCAAAATACCATACCAGTTGAGTGTATACTCACGTAGGACTGAAGAACAGTGTGGATTGAATAAAGTAGTAACAGCCCAACCGTAGCATCACTAGGATGACAGATTTGAAAAACAAACACTACGGTGTTTCCACCAGTTGATGATCACTTCATTATACACTATTTATTAATTAATTATCTTAAATCACACGTAATTATGAGAAATGATATTGCAAATATTCATTTGTATTGTTTGTTTGAGTCTTTCCGTTGATGATTACGACTGCAATTGATCAGTCGTTTCATAATATATGTGCGCCGTGTAGGAGTTACCTCAATCTAACAATTATGTTGCGTGTAATGTAATCGGAGATGGATGATGGCTAGCAGTGGAATGCAAGACACGCGTCCCATTGTCATATTCGAGACTCGTCAGCTGGATGTTCCTGCATCACACAGTTGATGTTCACTCCCATACTTGAACTCAATACCGTTCACTGCAAACATCGTCGCGTCATCTACTTAGCATCTAAGTTTGGATACACACTGGTTTTTACAAACAGCAGCATGTATAGGTGAGCACAGATTTCGTGAATGTTTATCGTGTAGCCAACAGCATTGTCAGAAACCATGCCCATTCGTGATGTCGACTGCTGAAGTCGTGACAGAATATCTTCAACCTCTACCATCGTGCACGTTCGCTTCAACAAACGGGAGTCCAGTGTTAATCTATAGTCACTACATATCCTAGGAGCCTTGCCACTACATCTAGATTCACTTAATATGCCCTCCTTGATTGAATATTCATAATGGTAGTAATATTACTGGTAATGTCAGTATTATTATTATTATTAGTCGTAGTAGTAGTGTTAGTTGTTGTAAGAGTATTAGCATTGTTACTGTTAATTATTGCAGTTGTTCTAGTAGTAATGTTAGCACCAATTTAAGTAGCGTCAGTAGAAGTGTTGAATGTAGTAACAGTATAAGTGGGACTAATGATTTTGGTAATTTTCCGATTGTTATTTACAGTAGCATCGTGATGTGTACTACTGATGTCAATAGATATAAGTTTTATGTATAATCAATCGAAAGTGAAATGCATGTAGTCTGAAGGTTTGAGTCATCGAATATAAGAGAACGAGAACAGTGATTGATTGTTATGGAGATGAAAGAACTCTAAATTCTGAGACAATTGATTTACATTTTGCAAATGAAGAGGTTACTGTATGGCCCTAAGAATTTACCAAGAAATTATGTAATGTTGTATCAAAATACATTTGGTTGTCCCCACCTACCTTCTTGTTGACTACAGTTGTAGCAATGATCCAAATATGAGCAATATGGAAAGGTTCTATATATGTTGAGTGTTATTAAAAAGCATCTGCATAACAGATATACATAGGCCTCATAGTCTATTTGCACTTTGTGATGTTTTGGCGATCCGAAAATGGTTTACGACTGGTCTCAAGGAGTTCTGTCTACACCGTGCTTCTGATGTTCGAAAACTCTACTCACAATCAAAGGCCAGTGATAACTTTGAAGTCACGCTCCACTTCCTACTATTTATAAGGAATCTTATTGGTAGCGTGCTCAATTGTAGTAGTGGAAGTTGTAGTATTGTTGTGATATATACTACCTGTGCTGGCTGACATGAGTAGTATTTAATACAAATCAGAAATAAAATGTCTGACAACAGAATAATGTGAAACTCAAGTTGAAGAGAACGTATATATAAAAAGGAGTGATTGTAACAAAAAAGAACTAAGGAACGATGAAGTTTGTGAGCGACAACTGACGGAAGATGTACGAATGAAGTATTTAATGTACAGTGTTCATATTTTACGAAGATATCGTGATTTCGCATTTAAAATTAAATTGGTTGGCCTAACCATGTCTTCGTTCACTGTGGTAATAATAATAATATTAATAATGGAAGCGACATTAATGTCAGTGGTATTATTATGAATAATTGTATCTTTGTATTACGATCATTACTGGTAAGCAGTTTATTTATGGCACGAATGGTAGAATTTATAGAAATGGCAACAATGATAATAAATGTAATGATAGTATCGGCAAATGTAATCATAATGAGGAGTATATTATTGCGTAGTTTGTCGAGTTTGATTTCAGAAGAGCCAATCAATTTGAGAGATAATTCTCTGAGTTCGATTGGGATGCCGTGATTATTGTAGTTGATGTGTGTCAGGTATGGGCCAGTTACTCACCCATGAAAATGGAGGATAGTTGCAAAATTTCGTGGATTGTTTGAACTTAGACATTATCACTATAAGATAGCGGCTCAATGATTTGAGGATAATCAATTGCGCGCGAGAATTTATGTCCTGAGCTCGAGCCATACGATAAAAAATGTAGGAGTTTGTGGATAATGTAATTATTACGTACAATAAAATGTTTGCCATACAACAATGCATAGAACTACGGAAGGATTATATGTTCCAGATAAATATACATATCACATATTGAATCGATCTGAAATTGTGGTGAATGTTTCTTCTAAGGCAGTTATGATCTAATGAATGTCTGAGTTGACTTGATAACATCATCCGTCTACAAACATTTCAATAAAATGTTTTAATGACATCTTTCATATCCAGCTTGGGTTCAATTTGAAGTGCGTTGAAATGTTGTGATGAATATATTCAACAATGCTGTGTCTTTATGAAAACCATCACGTAATGGAGTTCCACTGATAATAATCTTCAGCTCTATTTTCATGTCTGTTTTTGTTAATGATTTACAGATGATGTCATAGTCATTTGTTTTGGGTTGATCTTTTTCATATCATAATGAACTGTCGTCCGTAACGATGATCAAGTAATATTGTTGACTCTCGTAACGCCATTCTTCTACCGCTTTCATTGAGTTTTTCCACAATCGTTGCACCACTCATGTCATAAATATTTACGCTAGCTTACTCGTTACGTCAATAAAATTTTGCAAACTAAGACTTCCATTACACTTCCTGTTGTCTTTCATCATTCGTATTGTCATCGTTTTTGGAATCACTGTCAGTTGATCAAGTAATTTGACGAATCGATTTTTATGTGTCATGGACACCCATTTCTGTCATTGATTCTTTCAGGTTAGGAAACACTGTTGTTCATTGAGTTTTACACATAAAGCAAAACGGATAAACGTCAACTCGTAATGTATTAGAATATTCAGCATTCATTAGAATAAAACGTCATCATTGCTCTGTAATGAGTCAGGGCACCTCACCCAGTGATACCCCATATGAGGATTCGCAGTCACCGACTCAAAATAAACATATGATTTCGAGTCGATTTCTTTACAAAAGCTTGCAAATTCGGTAGCCTTGTCGAAATATCTGAACTTTGAATAAACACTTTGCAAATATTGAGCTCAGACAAACGTCAGACTGGTTTCATAAGATATGAGCGAAAAACAAGTCAACGTTTTAAATGTCAAGCTAATTTATTGAAGTGTGTTCAGTTAATAAAAGAGGAAGTCGTGGTTCTACTAATTTGTAGGTTTTCTGTAGTCACTCGTCACATATATGATTATGGATTCGATTTTATTTAGGTTTTTATAACTATTCACATGATGACCACTGGTAAGCCTTGTGATGGATATAGAGTCATTACTCAGAACAAAAGTTGCGTCTGTATTTTGAGGTGCTCTAACGCGTTCATTGAAAGGAGGAAGTCGTGGCAAACCACATCAAAACAACAGCTTATCACCCAGCAGCTAATGGCATGGTTGAAAGTTTCCATCGTCAATTGAAAAGCTCACTGATGGCACAAGCTGACATTTCAAAGTGGAGCGATGCCTTACCGCTCGTACTTCATGAGATTCATTCAACTATAAAGGAAGACATCGGACGCACTGCCGCCGAACTAGTTTATGGCACAACCTTAACGTCACCAGGAAAACTGATCAATCGTGAATCTACAACGTCAGGGGATCCTTCTCATTTTGTTAGCCTTAGTGCAAACGATGCAGCACATCAAAACAGTATCCTCGCGAGAACAAAACAATCGAGTTCAACTTGATAAACATCTTGAAACGTGCAAATTCGTTTTCGTTCAAGTAGAGGCTGTGAAATATCCACTGAACCCACCATATGTATGTCCTTTTAAAGTAATTAAACGCACTCACAAATACTTCATTATCAACAGAAACGGGAACAAGTAGATTATTTCTATAGACAGAATAAAACCAACTTTCCACAAAGCTTCCCGAGACAAAGAAGACAACACTGCGAATAAAAAATCCCTCCCATCAATTACTGCGAAACAATAGGTGGATGAAAAACTTAGAACTACACCTTCTTGTTTAACACGTTCTAGTAAACTTATAAAGAAACCTAAACGTTATGTACATTTTATAGACTCATAAAATCGAAACATTCAATGATACACAATACAAGGTTAAATCAACTGAATTTTCTAATGAACACTATTTCTTTTCTTCACATGTAATACTTAGATCTACACTTGCGTCTGATAATCACTCACATTCATCAGCATTACTTTTTGAACAGAATATAACAAAAAGATATTTGTCGAAACAACTGGTTCAAATCGAATGATGCTGAACGTAATTCGTGTTAGTCGATTCTAATGAACAAAGCGTAACTACATGTCATAGATGTCTAACGCGACCAAAGAGATTCAAACTCATAATATCACATCACCAATGCTAAATGTTTTGAAATGCTGTGTTGGGCTAAACAGAGCACAGCCACATTTTCAACATTTAATTATACTTGCATCACACAGTTGTTAAACACACACTAATTATTCTACATTTCGTATAGAGCAGACCTTTTGATTGTTTCTGAGTCATTTATTTGTTTGTATGCCTGTCTATTTTTAAGTCGACGTATGTTGCTGCATGCTCAA